AAAATAGGCATTATAAGCCCGACCTACCTCTGTAGCAATTTTAATGGTCAAATGCAATCATTGAAAGATAGTGCTTTGAATATTTACACTAGTCAAATTATACAAATAACATACCCAGTTATAGATGGGTGGATTAGGCATCTGTGGCATATGTACACAGTGGAGTACGACTCAGCTATAAAAAATCATTACTTTTGCCATTTGTGATAACATGCATGGCACTGAGGTGGAAGGAAAAAGATAAATACTGGATGATTTCACTCAAGTGGATTCTAAAGAAACAAAGAATACACAAAATCAAACCAGTACAAACCTTAGAAATCTCACTGTAAAATTGAGGCTACCAGAGGAGGGGAGGCTGGTGGGTGGGAACAAAGGGAGAGGGGAGCTGAGGGCTGAGGTGGAGGACTGTGGATGTTTTGGTGATGGGTGTGGGATGGTAACACACATCTGAAGAGGTGTGAACCTGTACTTCCACATCAGACAGTGTTGTAAACTGACGTGGCCCCAGCAAAAGAGAACCTTGAAAAGTATAACATATTTCACAAGTGTAGTCTGACATCAGTCTTCAGATCAGATCAGCATGATGAGGTTTCGGTTAGTAAAGAGGTGCTATGAAAGTAAACGTTTGTAGTCTGTTTCTGTGATATTATGTGGTTCTTTTTATAGATATCAAAGACTTACGCAGTTTTGCTAGTATTGAGGCAGCATTATAACTCTACTTAGCCCTGAAAAGTCCTGAATTAAAGATAGACTGTTTTGCTTTGTTCTAAACATGTAAGTTTTAAGGCCATTACTCTACCTCCATATAATCAGAAGGGAAAATGGTCATGTCTTTGCACTTTTAAGATACATACAAAGTCACATGGAAAACCGGAGACATGTGTGCACACTTCCCTACATACTGGGATGCTGGGGAGGCCAGGAAAACTGGGGAAGGTGGAGCTCTAAGTTTGTAGGAAAAACTGTCAGTTCTACAAGAACAGCATCAACACTGGGCACAGACAAGTCTTTGCCATCATCACGATTCACTCATCAGCTAATTGGAGACACTCCAAGTAGCGTTGCAAAGTGGTTTCACAGTGTTAAAGCACATCTTACTCAAGGGTGATTGTGTTAGAAAATACTGTCTTCATCCCAATGGGCCTAATGTCCACTGGGAAAGTCTTGGGTGATGGGGCCTGACTGCTGGTGATTGGAGAACCCACACACCTCAGTGAACATCATCAGATGGTTCCATGAAATGGGCTAGATGCTTTTTATTTTTTAATCAGGTTTAATTAACATGCCATTTGTTTGCATAGCTCTGCCATTGGGGAGTACAGCTCTGTACTTTACAGGTGCACAGGGCGCTCTCTAATTCTCCCCGGTACATCAGTGCGGATGCATTGAGTTTTATGTGGAGCAGGGAAGGAGGAAAACTTAAGGAGTTACTCCTCCTGGGGCAGGAAAATGCATCCTCTTGTTTATGATTCCTCACGTTACTAGGAGGAGCAATGCTTATACTGGCTTCCCCAGTGGTTCACAAGTTTTTCTCGCACACATCTGGTTGGGTAGGACTAGAAGCAAATAAAACACTCTATTCTTGTTTCTTCAGAAGGAATTGGCTTTCACAAAGCTGCTGCTTTTTATTGAGGTCCAACAGGCAGACTTAAAAGAGAAGTTCCAACTTTGATTCCAGGCTCGTTTTGAAAAAGCAGCCATGACAGTGGAGAGTCAGTCAGATTTGCCTGTGCACTAGCAGTGTGACAGGGGACAGTTCCTGCACCTTGTTGAGCCTCACATCCTCCCTGTCAGTGGAGTAGGGTCCTTGAAGAGGTTGAGCTCAGGGATTCTGAGGCCAGAGGCAGCAGTATCTTTGCTTAGAACTTGAGCCCTGGAGCCGGCCTTGCTGGGGATGAGTCCCAGTTCTTTTCTTGTTGTGTGACCTAGTGTAAGTCACTAAACTTTCCTGAGTCAAGAAAACAGAGAGCAGTCGTGGTGGTGGGAACAATAGCTATCATAGATGCTGTAGGGATACAGGAAAGGCCCAAAAGCACTTACAGTGCCAGCTAGTTCTTACATGAGGTATGTGCCATGGTTGTGTGCCTTGTAGACTGTTACTGCTTTTCATATATCAGCTGGCTGGCACGAGTAGGTGGTCAGAAAGGATTAGCTTTTATTATGGCTTCTATTATTGTTTCCATTACAGCCCTTGAATGTTAAGGAGCCTGAAAAGAAAGTAAGAGTCTTATATGTCTATATTTTTGTTTAACTAAACATGTCAGTGGGATCTTTTCCAAAATCTTATTCCCTCAGGCGCTCATAATTTAATCTTATACTGAAGGAGGTTTTGGTTTTTTTTTTCAGTGCTGCTTATAGCAAAAACAATATTCTTGAGCCTCACCCAGACCTTCAAAAACCAGAAATTCTGGGGATGCGAGTTATCGAATTTATTTTTGGTTTTGTTTTTTACTTCAATGCCCATTGGCTTATTTTTATGAAGTCTTTATATTTTTAGGGTTGCTTTAGGTTCACAGAAAAATTGAGAGAGGGGTACAGAGATTTCCCATCTATTCCCCTGCCCCCACACATGCATAGCCTCCCCAGATATCAACATCTCCCTCAGAGTGGTACATTTATTACACTTAAGGAGACTACACTGACATGTGGTACCAAAGTCTGTAGTTTACATTATAGTTCACTCTTGACCTTTTGCATTGTATGAGTTTGGACAAATGTACAGTGATATGTATCTGTCATTATAATATCATACAGAATAGCTTCGTAGCTCTAACACTTCTCTGTGTTCTACATACTTAGTTCCCATGCCCTCAGCCCCTGGCCAACACTGATCTCTTTTGCTGTCTCCATAGTTTTGCCTTCTGTATGTTTTAACAAGCTTCCCCAGTGATTCTCATGCTCTCTGAAGTTTGAAAACACCAGCTAGACACTCCTGTGATGTGGACCACCTTCTCTTGCCAACAAAGAATTGGGTAGTTCATCTCTTTGACAGGTGTTTCAATTCAGGAAGTGCTAAATGACTGAGTGAAACAGAAATCCAGGTAGATCTGAGAAGCAGAGTCGGGGTGGGGAGCCAGGAGGGAAAAGCACTTGAGCGCAGGTGACTCTGTTGGTAGATCTGAAATGGCCTGTTTGGGGTATTAGGCCTCTGGAAGGTGCTGATGGCATATCTTGTGCTCCGAGTGATGCATAGGAGAAGATGCCTTTTGAATGTTTATGTGGGGTTAAATGAGGAAAATCCATTTCAGCCTTCAGAGGGCAGAGATGTTTGCACAAAAGGTCATGGATGCCAATTGGTGGCATTGCAGACTCACAGGGGGAATATGAAAATAGCATTTTTTGTTTGTTTTTTAAGCACGAGTTGTACTACGGGCCAGAGTCTCAGTCATGTTCATGTTCCCATCTTGCTACCCTGGGGTTGTAAATAAAAAGACTTTTATTAAAAAAAAAAAAAAAAAAGCTATTTCTTCACCTCTTATGAGAAGGAGAATTGGTGGCTGTCCTCAGCAAAATGATTAAGGAAGGACCATGGCCTGGAACTTGACAACTCCTTGGGAAAGGGGATGTTAAGCCGGTGGTGGAGGTGGTGAACAGTGCTAACCAGTCATTCCCATTTCAGCTGAAGTCTACAGGAGCTTATGGGGGACTTAGTCCTGTGCTTTATTTGGGACTCTTGTGTGACTGAGGACTACAGAACCTTGAGCAAAAGGAAGCCAGTCTTGGCTGTGATTAAAAACATTTTGATTAAAAGTGTGAAGAAATTTTTAAAAAATAAAGCATAGAAGGACGTGGGGGTGGGTTGTGGATTTCCAAGTGAAAATGTTAACTCAAAAAGAACACATGTTTTCTATAAGACAGATTTTTTTTATTCTATTTATTTAAATTAGGGCTTCTTAGTCTCTGTACTCTTGATGTTTGGGACCGGATGATTTGTTCTAAGGAGCGGTCCCGTGATTGTGGGATGTTCAGCAGGATCCCTCGCCTCTGTCCACTTGTGGCCACACAACCACCAGAGCAAGTAGAAAATATCTGCTGACAACGCAGATGTCCCTGGTTAAGAACCACTGATTTGTGTATTAACTTCCATTGTGTTCACAGTACCACATAAGGCACTGCAAAGCATAAAACCACTAAGAATGTAGCCTAATTTTCCTAAACTGAATTATTCTTCTATTTCTACTACTATGGTGGTTAAAACTATAAGTGTGTTTATAGTTATACATATGCGTAGTTATATGTATATAGTTTTAATCATAATAATATATAATTATATGTAGTTTTATAGTGTTTTTATAATATTTTATAGTAGTCTATATACAAATAGATACATACAAGTATACACACATGGTAGGAATTTCTGGAGTTAATATTATGTAATTTAATTATGGAATAATATTAGAAAAGTAGTAAAATAGAAATATTGATGTGTCCGATCTTGTGTGTTTCATCATCCATCAGTGTAAATGTTTTGATTATGGTCTAGGACAAGACTGGTAGACAATTTCCAGATTAAAATTTTTATATTCCAAAACACATTATTTTTTCTTCTCTTATGTCTTATAGAGACAGAAAACTCTTCCTGATTTATAAGTATAGCATTTTATAGAACTTCTGGTCTTTACAACAGTGTAGAGAGAATGTGTAAAGAGAACACGTACCTTTTCGGTGGGAATTAATAATTCCAAGTGTTCTACCATGTTTCTAAGCTCTTAAAAAAAGACAGATGGTGATTTCTGATTATAACTTGGCCTTAGAAACACTTGTAAGAAAGATCATCACAAAAAACAACTTTATGACAAGAAGCGGCCTTCATGTTTAGAATAGATTCTCCATCAAAACTCACCACCTATGATTTTTCTAAGCCCACCTTTCTTGTTGCTTAGGAACACGAAAGAAAATGTAACCTCACGCCCCTGTTTTTGCTGCTCAGAACAATGAATGAGTGCTCAGCTGGTGAGGCTAATGCTGAGACCCTTGTTTTGCTGTTGCTTTGGCAGACTGCATCATCGGCTATCAAAGGTGCTATTCAGCTGGGAATAGGATACACGGTGGGTAATCTCACTTCGAAGCCAGACCGAGATGTTCTCATGCAAGACTTTTATGTGGTGGAAAGCGTGTTCCTACCCAGGTAAGAGCATTCTTTGTGATGCTTTGCATGTGAAGAACCTTCTTAGAGACATCCTCCTACTGAAGTATTTTCTGCCAGGTCTGTCTGATGTGCAAGCCGAGCCTCTGGCAAGACCAAGAGCAACCCAAAGGATTCTGACTTTCTGGTGCATTAGGGTGGTTGACAGCTTTTTTATGGAGATGGTCAACAGGTTTTGTCCTATAAGCTAGCTGTAATTAGTTGTAACAGTTCTTGGAAGACTTGAAGGAGGAAGACTTTGAGACTTGGTGGGAAACAGTGCAGTAATTACCATGTTCTCTGTATGGGTTTAGAAGTCACTTATAATAAGGGAGATGCAAATTAAAACCACAACAAGATACCACCTCACATCAGTGAGAATGGCACATCTTAAAACAACTAGCAACAACAAATGTTGCGAGGATGTGGAGAAAAAGGAACTCTCCTGCACTACTGGTGGGAATGCAGACGAGTACAACCACTATGGAAAGCTGTTTGGAGGTTTCTCAGAAGGCCAAAAACAGAGCTTCCATATAATCCAGCAGTTCCACTCCTAGGTATCTACGCAAAGGACACAAAAACACCAATTCAAAAGGACACCTGTACCTCCATGTTTATTGCTGCTTTATTTACAATAGGGAAGACATGGAAACAACCCAAATGTCCAAAAGTAGATGACTGGATTAAAAAGATGTGGTACATATTCACAATGGAATATTACTCAGCAATCAAAATAGATAAACTCATGTCTTTTGCAGCAACATGGATGGAGCTGGAAGGGATCATGCTTAGTGAAATAAGCCAAAAAGAAAAGGAAAAAATACCGGATGGTTTCACTCATAGCAGGAGTGTAAGGGAACAGGGGTGGGGGTGAGAGGAAGCAATTGTAATAAAGTAAAAATTAAAACAATGAGCAACTATAAACTAGAGACATTTTACAAGGGTGGAAAGGGGAATGGGATCAAAACTGGGTGGGAAGAGCACATGGAACTATGGTGATGGCACACAGGTGAATTGGTGGTGGGAAGTCCACACGGATTACAAATGAGATGAAAACATACACAAAATGAAGAATAATGTAAAAAATAAAAAAAAATTATTAAAAAAACAAATGAGTTCATCCCAGAAGCAGCAACTGGTGACATGGTTTGGCTACTCCTCATTTCAAAGGTTAACTGAAGGCCCACAATTGGGCCTCACATCCAAATTAATTTGCATAGCTTCTCTTTAGTGGTGACTTGGTAGTCTATTTTTGCACACCATACTTAAAATCCCACCAATGTCTGCCATATATGTTGCCTTTAATTTTATTATATTTTGGGGAAAATCAATTTCGCAAAAAAGTCTAGAGTTGGATGATAGTGATGGTTGCACAGTAACCGAATAGTAATTGATGCCACAGAACTGTATACATTCAAAAATGGCTAAAATGGTAAGTTTTGTATTATGTATAGGTTACTAAAATAAGCTCTATAATTTTTAAAAATTTAATCCTACCTTAGTATAGGAAGGCAAATAATCATTATTAAGTTGTAAATGTCACTATTACTAATAGGACTTTTTGAAGAAAATAGAAAATGTAAAAATATATATTCAGCTTAGAAACTTGAAAGTAATTATTTCTGTCTTCGGAGCTATGAAGATTGACTTACCCTTGATTTTTATTTAAAATAAGACATTTTGTTATTTTTTATCAGTTTTGGGTGATACAGACCAGGTCACATTACCTTCCATGAAAAACAATCTTTAGGGGAATGATGATATGTACATTTCTCTCCATGGCCATATGTCAGCTGCCTGGAAATGAAAGATTTGGCTGAATGTGTCCATAAAGTCACAACGGAGCCCACAGTTTAAAAACAAAACAAAAAAAAAAAAAAAAACCAGCTGTGATCCAAACAGCCTAGCTAGTCTATAAATGTTCTTGATAAGAATCAAGTGTATTTACTGGAAGTTTATGAGTGTACTTCTCTAGGGCCCTCTAGCAACCACAAGAACTAGCTTCCAGCCAACCCTTGGGCCTAAGATAGAATCCTATTTGTTCATGATACTGTTTGTTCTTTAGTCTATGTTTAACAGTATCGTTCCATAAAAGTACTTATTGATTGCACTTTTTCCTCCTTAAAGTCAGGAGATCTCGAGTTGACCTACATCTTTTAGTGTGATCTGAGGCTCGTAATCGCTGTGAATGTGTCTGTAGGATGTTCTGACTCTTGTGGTCTTCCAGGGCCTCCCCCAGACTTTTCAGTCGTCTTTTTATTTGGTAACAAAGAACAAAAGGAATGGAGGAGATGGTGGCTGGCAGAGAGTACAGGCTCTGGAAGCAGTTACAGGTGAAGATGGGTTTACAGAGAGGGGCGGATTGCTCCAACCTTGCTGATCTCTTCACACGCTGTGTACAGTCAGCAGAGCCAGCCCCGTGGACCCCACACTCAACATTCACATGGCCTGGACTTGTTAGAAATGCAAATTCATGGGCTCCGCCCCCGATCAACTGAATCAAAAACTCTGGGGCCTCTGTTTCAACAAGCCCTCCCAGTGATTCAAGGTGCCTAGAATGTTCAGGACCACTGACTTAGGAGTCGGCGTCGTCGCAAATTTTAGTTTTAGAGTTACTGCATGATTATTGAAACGAATAAAACCTCCAAGTGATTTTTGATTAGTATCTTAAATATCAAAAGGATTCTGTTCAGTAACTAAATTATACATGACACTGTGTAAGATACTTTACAAGAAGTACATAAATAAGGTCCTCATAGATATTTGTGGCGGTTTCTGAATGCTGTGAGTTCTTTTGTTCATGGATAAGTTATTATAAAAATATTGCATCTTTGTTTCAGACAAAATGAGAACTATTTCCCCCTTTTTTTCCTGAGAGTGGAAGCCAAAGTTGTAAATGCCTGGAATTTGTGTCTTTCACCATCACTCTATCTATTCTAAGATAGCAGGAGCAGCAGATGAATGGCAGGCATCACTACCCTGTTTAGAAACATCCATGTCACATTTAAAATATATCATTGTAGAATATTTATAGCACTTAAATGCCAACGTAATAGCAAACATTTGAGCACAATAAGAATTTCTTTCAGCAAATACTGTATTGTCTAAATCACATAAGTGTAATTCCACGAAAACATGAAACTGTGAGTCTTGCCTCAGATTCTTCATTGCTTTAGCAAAGGGACTGCACACACGGTTTCTCATTGACCTTTCTTGAATGCGACAACCCTTGGTACCAGGCTTCACATCTCAGGATTTTTGTCATTCCCCTAGCCATGCCAGTGATATCTCCATGTTGCCATAGCAATAAAAATGCCCCATGAGTGGTGGATAAATTCAGTAACTTGGTTGTGATTTCATGCATCTACATGTGTGAAAATCAACAAGCTTACGGTTTATTGTGTGTCAGTTGTACCTCAGTAAAGCTGTTAATGATGCTCTGTTCCTACCCACCCTGCCTCCCAAATCTCACTGGGAGATGTGGGCAGGACTATTCTAAAGTCTCAGGTGGTTCTAAAATCCGGCAATTCAACCTGGGTCATAAAGAGAACTAATTGCTTAGGTGCCTTGAGATGATTTAATTTACTACTGCTGTGAAGCTGCAGAATCTGTTTCCCTTAGCAACAGATGTCTTTGTTTCCTCCTTTTAAAGGTGACTGGGAGTTATTTCTAGTTATTATGCATTTCTTCTACATATTATTTCATTTTATACATAGAAAAGGCTCTGGTTTTTTTCTATTAAGATTTCCAAGATGATATAAAATCCAACGCAGTGAGCTTGTGCCATGATCTTCCAAAAACCACAAAGTAGATGAGTAAGAAAATCATCACCATGTTTAATCTTTTGACCCTGAATTCTGTGCTGCGGTCAGGAACTCAAGATACACTTACATGTGTAAATGGAATTTGGAAGAAAGAGGATGTTTTATAACATTTGTACCATGTAAAGGTGAACTCGAGATGGCAAAAGGGGAGGGACGTGTGTCAACTATGAATCAAGATAGCTTTGTTGACATATTTATATGAGATAATGTTAGAATATTGTTTTTAACTTTCATATTTATCCCCAAAAAACATTTTACATATGAACTATTTTACATATCTTACATATGAAATAACTAAAGACCCCTAAATATATGGAGTGGTGTAGCCCAAAGTTTTGCAGCCAGAAATGGTGAGACCAGGGTTGGACTCAAGGATGATGATGCCAGCATTTCACTTACCCCTACACTGTGCAGATAAAGCTCGGGGCCAGTATTTCTGCTCTTTTGGCATTAAAACACAGTCCAACTTTTACTTTAGAATCTTGAGTCTAAGTTAATAACCAGCTCTATCTATTCTTGTATCCACTCCTCACTAATGAACATCATTGCTCCCTTCTCTGGGCTGGGGAATATGGTTTGAAAGCTGACAATGAACATTTCTATATCTTCCCATATTCAAGGCTGTTACCTAACTAAAAAGTGTGTAAAAGTATTCTGATTCCTAACTCTCCCCACTTGTGTAAATGGAGATTACCTTTGATGTGAAGATCCTTCCAGAAAACAGACTGCCCTTAGAATTGACAGGTGTGCCCTTTGGTTGGATTACTCCCAGGGGACTACTCACAAGGGAGAGAACTACTATAAGGCTATACCATGCTTCTAAACATACATGTTAGGTTGAATTTCACATTGCCAGATATCAATGTTGGATGCTCTAGCTTTCACAAACTATTCAACTACTTGCATTTTTTTAATACTTAAATTTATTTTCCGTTTTAAGCTAATTTATTTTTTTCTTATAATGTTGTTCATGTTTTGGACATTATTTGATTTCTCCCCTTAGGTGTAGTCCCTGCTGTTCCCCCACCACCATATCACCTGTGGTTCATCTCCATGGTCCCTTGTATCCTTCCCACCCCTCACCTGATCTCAGGCTGTAAGCCTCAGGTTTTTGGTGTACTGGTAGGTTTTATCTATTTTCTGACCCTTTGTTTTCTCTGTATTCTGCATGTATGAGAA